TATTTAAATACGTACTTAGCCGGTAATTTATAGAGATAACCATGACCTTCATCACTCCATAAAATAACTCTGTCCGCAGCTAAAAAGTCTCCAGCCATCCAGCGTTCGCCGCATGGTGCAGTAATTGAACATAGAAGAGAGAAATCACCGGCATCGTATATCTAATTGAAATGATATATCAGTAGAAATGAAGCTATTCAATTCAAAAAAGATATAAGAACAAATAAAATGTACCTGCCAATGTTTGGAACACACAATTAATACAGTTCTTTGATTGTATGGGCAACAAGTCATTGCAAGTGCATTTAGACATCGTATTTGTTTGCTTTCATGTTCATAAAGTGGTTCACTATTACGATTCTCGTGCCCAAGGAGAGTCCACACCTTGACTGTACCAGTTGTTGTTAGGGCCAGCACAACATCGTCTTTAAATGAATGGAAGCGCCTGTTGCGCGTTAACTACATCTAAGAAGGTGTCATAGCAATTTAAGCAAAAGAACTCTCAATAAGAGTCAACAAAGTGACACCTTACAGATGTTATAAATGCATAAGAAAATATAGATGTTTTACATAGTTATAAAATAACATTCTAGCATTGCGAAATATACACATTAAAAATAAATAAAAATATTTAAAAAAGTTACTAATTACAATAATTCATAACGGAAATCATGTAATATAATAATATTTCAAGCAAAATAAAACTTTCCATGTTAAAATAAATGATCATATTCATACACTACTATCAATTCATGCTCATTTGAATCGTGCATAAGGCATCTTGCAAATCTAGTGTATAATTGATTTACAAATATACTTTAGCTATATAAAGAAAAGAAATCCAATAAAACATTCATTTTCTTCAACATAAATTTTATATAAATTAATGAAGCTCTAGACTAAATTTTTAAGATACCATGTATTAAAGACTATGGTGCTTATGATTAATATACATGTATGTAGCTAAGCTATAATTCCAAACATATCTAATGTGCAAATACTGTGCAAAACTCTTGATCAATTATAGTACATGCAATTACATTTTTTATATTATTTACATTCATTTTTTATTCAAATTTTTATTTTAAATGCGTTTTTTTAAAATTTTAATACT